CATAGTCTACTACTGTCACCATTAGGCAACCTTCAAAAGCATAGTCCACTGCTGTCACCATTAGGCAACCTTCAAAAGCATAGTCCACTGCTGTCACCATTAGGCAACCTTCAAAAGCATAGTCCACTGCTGTCACCATTAGGCAACCTTCAAAAGCATAGTCCACTGCTGTCACCATTAGGCAACCTTCGAAAGCATAGTCCACTCTTGTGACCATTAGGGAACCTATAAAGGTATGGTCCACTGTCCTGACCATTAGAGAATCTATGAAGGCATAGTCCACTGTTCTGACCATTGGGGAACCTACAAAGGCATGGTCCACAGTTGTCACTACTAGGGAATATACAAAGGCATGCTCCACTGTTTTGACCATTAGGGAACCTACAAAGGCTTTGGAAGACTTTAGGAAAACCATCATTAGAAATGCTGTGGAGCCATTACTGGAGTCCATGTATATAGAAAGAAAGTGGCTGCAGGAGATTAGCACCACTGCGATGTAACAAATGATAAACAAAAAGGTGACAACAAGTGTTGTATTTATTTTTTTTAAAATGGTAATTGTTGATACACAGTGCTTTAGTTTTAGTTTAGTTTACATCTACTTGGATTAGAACTTCTGTCAGCTTATTAACCGCTTGAAGACCAGGTGTTTAGACCCCCTTCCTGTCCAGGCCATTTTTCAGTGTTCAGCGCTGCATTACTTTGACTGATATTTATTCCGTCATGCAACGCTGTACTGAAATGAATTTTATACCATTTTTGGGGACAGATAGAGCTTTATTTTCCAAGACCCCTAATGTCCAAGACCCCTAATGTCACCTAGGACCACGCTGATGAAGCAGATATCTGTAATGTAATATACACCACTTCCGCATTCTGACAGTGGAGAGGGGACCGGAGGGAGATCGTGAACCGACCTCCCTCTGATCCCCTGTGACACAGACAGTATGCTGGTCCCGGGCTCACAGGGGGGGGGGGCGCACGTCACGGGACCTTATACAAGCGATCCGCCGGCTCTATAGCCGGTGGATTGCTTGTATATTCAAATAGCGGTGATTTGTGTATACACGACCAGTTACATCAAAAGAGGCTAATGTCTGTGGCCCCAATTCTCCTGATTTGATTGAAAACCACAAATTGCAGATTCACATTTCTCCTGATTATTTACATCAAGCTTTGTCTGATTGCAGAAAATCACACAATTCAGGGATCCAAACAATTGTGATTTATAAATTGCACGATTCTCCATTGGTTGGTCAAGTAGGCATGAATATAGTTAGGGGAATAAAATGAAATATGCGATTCTCCTAATTTTCTAATGAATGCGCTCTTTGGGAAGAACTCTTTTCACCTGAAAGCATACTTGTAGTTTTTCCATTCAGGACATAGCACGTTTGCTTTAATTCTCCATCTCAGTTGGCTATGTTTACCTTTTTTTTTGCTCCCCCACTGCTCCTTTCGCCATAGAGTAAATACCTGGCACTGCTGTGAATGGCGGGAACAGCTGAATGGAGAGGTGAAAGGAAGGTAAGTATTAGCTGTTGGGGAGGACCGCTTGTCACTACAAGGCCAAAACTGAAAGGAGACATATCTGGAAAAGGATGGGATATTTATTTACCTTATGGGAGGCCATGTGTTGAAACACTTTGCTGACCCCGGCCACCATTTCAAACTTCCAGGTGTGTAAAATAGAATTCACTCTATCTGTCCCGGTGACCATTGTCAATGAGTCTAAAAGGGAGGGAAAATCTGAAAAGGAATAGAGGGACATTTTTTCAACAGGGACAAGAACTTCCCTATGAAGAGATTTCCTTTCACTTCCTGTTGTATTTGACGTGCGCACAGGAGTTTCCTCATCCCCACCACCTGACATTCCAAGAATGAGGTCGGATTTACATTGCATAACAAATGCACCATGCAGTGTACATGATTAAAGAAAAATTGCAAGAACATGGGAATTTTTTTATTTCCACAGAAGAGACTTTACATGTCTCTTTTGCCAGCAATTTTTTTAAAGCAGGATTTTAGTTCCCCTTAAAAAAACTTAGAATTCACCTTGGAGTCCCATGGTTTACATAAACCCACTTGGCCTACCACCTGGCGTATAAACATTATAGATACATACAGTATAAAAAAAACATACTCAAAAGCTCCAAAAATATGCTGAAAGGTAAATTGCCTCCTGTCTAAATCGGCCCTGTATGACTGTGAGATAGGGACCTTAGACTGTAAGCTCCTTGAGGGCAGGGACCTGATGTGAATGTGCACTATATAATAATAATAATATATATACAGTCTACTTATTTTGGGGTTTAGTTTTAATGTTGTTGCTTGTTAATACAAGGGTAGCCTGGATGTGCTTCAGCAAATTGCTTGGCCGACATTAACGTAAGTATTCATGACCTTTGGGAGGTCTGGAATAAGCCGTATTATGACCTAGTAGCTAGATCCTTAACTATTTTCAGGGAATGACATCTTTTACCTCAGCGTCGCCGCTGAACAGCTGTGCTGAGGCTTCTTGAATTACTTCTGAGTCTTTCATCCAATTTGCCTGCTGGGGATATTGCTGCATTGACTGGTCTTTGCGGGTGTTATTTTATTCAGCGCTCCTCTCGATGGAAGGGCTTCACCGAGAGTTGCCTCCTCTTTTCTTTTCACCTCTGCACTTTCTGATGAGGGCTTTGTGTGTTCGCCATTCACAGTGATAACCGAGGAAATTCGCATCTTCCTGACACATTACTGTAGCAGCTCAAATCCTCTCACAGTCATTTGTGTAGCATTACATAACCCACTTCTACACTTAACCTGATTCAAATATCAAGAGTTTAATGTAAAGCTGCATTATAGTTAGGTGATGTAGTAATATGTGCGTCTAGGTGCATTTATGTAACGCTTTTCCAAGAACGAGTATCAGGTTTAGACTGGCAGTTCACAGTTATGGATGTTGTTAAAGTAAACTTAAAGTAGTATTAAACTCTCAAATGTAGCCAACTAATGTTATATACAAATCTTGACTTTTCCTGTTAAGTCAATCTTGGCCCAACTGTCCCCCAACTGTTGAGCTCTCCTATTGGTCTGCAGTAAGGTTGCCCATTATAATAAAGGTAAACTCCTAGCAGATAATACAATTAAACCCCAAAACAATTATTGTAGTTAATCAGTAACTGAGTTTGACTTGGTATTAGCTTATTTTCATCCCTTGAAAAGAAGAGATCAGAAAGGGGGAGCAGGAGCCGAGCCAATCAAGTGTGTTGTAGAACATGTGTTGCTGAGAATAAAGATTGGAGAGAGCAGAGGATTTACCTCATCAGCCTACTGCTCGTTCACTATCCATTCACAGACCAAGGGCATAAAGGTGACTGAGCTTAGTTGTATTGCTTAAAGTATGTCTAAACCCAAGAACAAAAATGTCATATATTGCAGCTTACCAGAACTTAGATGGGGTGGCTGCATTAGTTTTCTTATTTCAGGCTAGTTTTGAAAACCCTGAAACTTTGGATGAATGATATCTGAAGGTCATCTGTGTAGATGTAGAGGCTGACAGAAAAGGCAAATATTTTGTATAATGTTCGTACAGCTTTGATTCCACCGCTTTGATTCCTTTTTCTAATGACTGTGGTTACTAGGGATGCACCGATACTGGTATTTCGGTATCGAGTATGAGTACCGATGATTACTGGTATTTCGGTATGAGTACCGATATTTTTTTTCCGGTACCCGCCGATACCGAGTACCAGAAGTCCCATTCAGGAAGCCAGGCGGCATGTAATGACTCGCCACCTGGCTTCCTGATTAGCCAGGAAGCCGGGGCAGCGTGTAAAGACTCGCAACCCGGCTTCCCATTTAGCAGGGAAGCCGTCCTCATGCTTCTCGTCACTAGGTAATGAGAAAGCATGGAGCTGGCTTTCTTGCCAATCAGAAAGCCGGGTGCCACGTCATTACACGGCACCTGGCTTCCTGATTGGCCAGCTTCCGACTGATTAGGAATCCAAACAGCATGTCATTACACGGTCCCCGGCTTCCTGATCGGCCGGGAAGCCAGCCCCATGCTCTCTCGTCACTTGTGACGAGAGAGCATGGAGCC